TGCCACGTTAATTAAAACTGAGAGTGAGGGCTGGGAAGCTGAGCATTCAGAATCCTTTGGAAGGGGGGATGGAGTGGTGCGTTCTTAGCGTGTTCTGTGCGCTCTGGTGCGACTGCTGCCGCTCAGTGAAACGAAACGGGTGCCAGAACGAGGGGAAATCAATCTGAACTCGGGAAAAATTGATTTCCAAACCTCTTGTAGCCCTTACCCTGGTGCAGCCAACAGGGCCGTGTAAGGTCAGCAGATGGGCTCGTGAAACTCGTGTACCTGAATAAAAATTGTACTTACCGACTTTAATTCGACTATTTTATGTGTGTATGAATATAATCTTAGGAAGTAAAAAAGCAGACTAATGTACAGGTTTCAGAAAGCACACACAGTTCACACAATTAATTTCAATTAAAATGGTGTTTGTTCCCTATTTTGTGACTAACAGGAGTAAGATTTTGTTTTTATTGCTGTCCTGGACAATGATCTGTGAAGCCACAGTGACATGATGTATTTTGGGGTGCTGTGGGGGAAGTCTTGCAATCCCTTTACTCCATCCAAGTTTTCCTATGGTTTTTTGCCATTCCCTTCTGTGAAGTAGTGGGGGCTGCGCTGCTGAGGCTAAGCAGAGCGTATTATAAAAATATTATTTTACTCCTATTATTATACATGCTTCACCCAAGGATCTACACCCATGTCCAAAGCGAACAGAGCCCTCACACCAGGCTAGCTTTACGTGCCCCTCTGTAGGGAGTTCAAAAGAGAATCAGAGTATGCTGAGTCTGGACACCGATGCCAATGAGTGAAAAATAAGGTTTTCTGCAATATTTACACACGCGCTTTGCCTTCACTGGGGAGGCTGGAGGCCACACGACAGATTCAAACTACCATCCATAAACAAGCCGGCGAGTCAGGCTCACCTGGAAATTGACTAAAAAGTTAATTTCGGTGCGAAGCGCTCTCGCTGCACTTCCCCGTGCGGCCAGAGCCGTGTCCCGGCGGAGCCGGGAGGGGCCGAGCCCCGGCCGTCCCTCGGGAGGCGGCTCTCCCGCCGCGCCGCCCCGGCTTCCTGCGCCGCAGGTGAGCCGGGAGCGCCCCTCGCTTCCCGCTTCCGCCCAGGTGAGCGCCGCCGGCCATCCCGCCGCTCCCGGCATCCCGCACCCCCGGCATCCCGCCCGCAGGTACCGCGTCCGCCCCGGGAACGGCACGGCTGGGGTGGGATAAGAGGAGGGCACGGGCGGTGAATTCACTCTGCTGCAGGAATGAATTCCCCTTCGGACACGCGCGGTGTGGATCAGCGGGTGAGATGTGTGTAAATATCTAAAGGGGATAAAAACCTGTGTTTATCTGTAACGAGTATTCCAGCCTGCCAAGAGGATGGAGCTGCGCTCTGCCTGGTGGTGCCAAGAGGCAATGGGTAGAAAATGATGCCCAGGATGTTCCGCCTGGATGTGAGGATGAACTTCTTTCCTGTGCTCCTCACTGGGAGCATTCCAGAACCATCTGGACTCAATCCTGTACCTTGTCCTCAGGGATGGCCCTGCTTGAGCAGGGAGGTTGGACCAGATGACCCAGCTGTGGTTCCTTCCTTCCAACCTGACTCATCCTGGAATTCTCTAAGGGTTTCCAACCATCTCCTGCTTCCAGAGCCAGACCTGTGAACAGCAGCTTGAGCAGTCCAGCCGTGGCCAGGATACCAGCTCGCACTCATCCAGACACCCCTACGTGAAAGCCCTTTGAAACCTCGACAAGTCCCTGACACCCCAGTAAAGACAGGGCAGGGCTGTGTCACTCCTGATGGCACCCAAGGCTCTCCAGGGCAATGAAGTCCTCCTGGTGTTGTGTTGTTGTGCAAACAGTTTCCATCGCTCAGAGAGGCTGGCTCAGGATGAGGAGAGGAGGGAAGTAACGCACCTGTTGCAACACTTCCCCTCAAGTGCCTGTCAGTCCAGAGATTCTTAGCAGAGCAGGTTTTTACTTTGTTTACGAGTGGTTAATGGGAAAAGTGTTCTTCCGCATTCCTTTTTAATTTCTGACCCTTGGAAGTTCAGAACGGTTCCAGGTTCAACAGCTCTGTTCCCCGTGATTTGTTAGTTGTGTACACTGTCATCAAAGTACCTAGGATTTATTGAGAATGGCATATTTAGATATTGGAAATGAGTTTTCCATGAGAACAGATTTCTGAGGCCATGATTTTGCTTTGTGGAGAGCCGCTTTGGCATGAGCTCTGACTTCTGTTAGACAACAGAGAACCCACATCAGCGCTTCCCTAGAGGCTGAAGTCCAAAGGAATTCAGGTTCTGCTTGCTAAATTTACCCTGCCTGGAAAGTGAGTAAGACTCCTCTTGATCTGCACCGAGGCTGGTAATCACAGGTGCAGAGTGCTGTCCTTTTTTCACTTTCCTCCTCCTGTAGTCATTAATCATGTGTAAAACTCACCCTGCCCACCCAGTATGTTTTTATTTTTAACAAAATTTAGCTGTGGCTCCACCTTGGAGATGTGTGATACATCTGTGTTCAGGTACCCACAGAAGTATTCAATTCTTTTCCTTCTTTCAAGTGCTTGGAGCAGTCAGGGTGTGCTTGACAACATTTTTGTAAATCCTGCAGCATTGCACAGAGCAGAGGTGGTTTCAGAGGAAAGGTGTGTATGTGCTATGCTTGGTTTGTCTGAATTTTTCTGTACAATATAAGTAAAACTGAGCATAGCATGTAGGACAGAAAAATACGTGTTAGAATAGTGTTTTATCACAGTATGGAGTCGCTTGATAGTGTGTAAACTGTAAAATTTTGAATATCTGAAGTTCAGCTGATGGCAGGACAATTTAGGATTAAGATCACACTAACAAATGGCATTTTCTCTTGCTTTTCTTATATCAACTTTTAAACTGAATTTTTCCACGTCAGAGGTCTCTGTGATGAGGAGGACGATATGCACCGTGTTAGTCACTCATGATAACAGGGCCAGGGAAAATTCCAGTGCAGAAAAGTGACTTTGGATCGGGATGAGCCCTTTGGCTGCTCCTGTGGCAGGCTGCTGAGGCTGCTTGTGTTAGAAGCCTTTGAGAAATAGCAGCAGTTAGTTAGCACTTGTGGGATTTACTATCCCCAAAGGTTCCAGCCAGGCTGGGTGGGGAGGGCATCCCGTAAGGCTGGAATTTTCCTGGAGGGATGCAGGTTGTTGAAGGGCGTGGGGCAGAGGCAGTTGTGGATGGATCAGGAAAAACAGGCTGAAGAATCTCTGCTGGCTGAACCGTGTCCTCCTCCATACCCCAGCAGCAAAGCCCTCAATTCCCACCTTCCAGCAGCCCTTTGGGGAGGGCAGGTGTTTGTCAGGGCTGCTGGTGGGATGTTGGGATGCTGTGTTCCCCTCTGGCTCTGGGATGTGCCGGGGCTTAGCACTCTGTGTCTCCGTGCAAGTGGCAGCGTCTGGCAGGGGGGTGATGGCAGTGGAAGACTTCAACTTTTCAGCTCTTCTGATGACCCTCTACTGGCACCAGCATGGGGGAATTCCTTTTTCCTTATGCTGCTTTTGAAGAAGATCCAAGTCTTGGGATTTCACACAAAACCTCCTGAAGCTTTCCCACTCCCTCGGATACGTTGAGTTCAGCTCTCAGGAGTGAAGACAGTGGAACCCCCAGCTGGATGCTGTCCTGGGGTTACAAAACACTCAACCTCCTGAAATTCATCATTTCCTCGATGATTTTATGGTTATGTTGGAAGTTGTGACACAAATGTTGAACTGAGGTTTCCAATAAGCATCTATAGAACTTGGAGACTGCAGCTGAGGAAGCAGTATGTGGAGTGCATGAACTGATTTTAACAGGACAAAACAGTGTTTTGGACCAGCCTTCAAAATTAACACCTAGGAATGGACTTCCTAATTTATCAACTGTTTGCTGACACTCTGCCTGGACTTAGAGTGTGTTTGGAAAATGTTAAATGCTAAACTGTTTGGGCTCTTAGACATAGAGATCAATAATACATGGAGTTGTGAGTTTCTCTGGTGCCCAAAAGCAGGTCTTAGAGGCCTGTCCTCAATTATCTATGACTTGAAAACTCTAAATTGGTTTATATTTTCAGGGATCCCTTCACACCAGAAGGAGCTGTTTGCTTTAATTTTTTTCTCCCCCCTCTCTTACGGAAGAAGGGAGAATAAAGAAATACTGAGTGTGGTTTTAACATATTACACACACAAAAAAAATCGCTAAAAAGCATTGCAAGCTGTCTGGAGGCCAGCTCTGATCACGAGGAACCCCAAAGTGCTGTGTAAACTGGAACTGTTGTTCAACCACCTGAGATCCACTTGGGCATTCACTGGCACAAGTGGCCTGCAGTGGCTCTTAGGGACACCTGGAGCAGCTCAAGCAAGAAGCTGAAGCTTTTTTTAATCTTTTCTTTTTCTTCCTGTTTTGTACCTCCTTCTCTAGGGAACTTCTGCCTCGATGGAGCAAAGATCTCTTACCTATAATTCGTCTCCTTAAATTTAAATCTCCGATTTTTCTCGGGTCAGTCCCTATTGCCATAATTGCTGTTGTAACAACCTCTGCAAAGGAAAAAAGAGATTAATTTTGGGGATGGTTAGCTCAGCACTTGGAGGCTGTTTTTGGATTGAGGATGGTTGTTTCTGGTGATGCAGCTTGGTCCTGCTGTGAGGTGTGGACACGTCACCGTGTCCCCTCCTGTCCCCCTCCTGCCAGTGCTGGCAGCTCAGAGCTCACTGGCCACAAAGCTCACCCCACCAAAACGTGAAGGATTCTTTCTGAGTGTTTAGCTGCCTGTTCCAGCTCACTATGGGATCAGCTAAATGGAAAGGGAAGAATAAATGCATGAAAGAGAGCTGGGGAGCTGGACCAGCCTCTTGGTTTTGGCTCTTGGGTGGGCAGGGTGCTGTCAAGTCATTGTTATTTCCTGCCATGCAGGATTTCTTCTCTGGGTTTAATCTTTTCCTCACCCCACTGCTGTTTTAAAGGTGTTTCAAGCCACTTTTCCTCACAGGAGTTATTTTCCATCCCTTTCTCATTTTGGTTCGCTCGCTTTCCTCTTTTAACTGCTGATGTGAGGTAGAAAAACAGAGGAGGAAAGCGAATGGAGGGGAGTTAAACCGGGAAGAAAGAACAAATTTCCATATTCTTTGTCCTGATTTGTTAAGGTTCATGCTGTATTTTTCAGTCGAGGAGGTTAAGTTTTGTCTTTTGGATTTAATGAAGTCTCAGGAGTGTGTAAGGAAATGGTGTTTTCATCTGCTCTTCAGAATCAGCTCTCAGCACAGAATCAAAGGCTGCTGTGCTCTTAGAAGTGTTTTACTTCGAATGGAAAGGCAAATAAAGCTGCAGCACTTCCTAAAGTCCAGATGCATTCCTGAAAATCTTTCGGGGAGTTGTATGGCTCTGCTGCTTCAGCTCTTGCTACAATTTTGATTTAAAATGACCTCCTAAATCTGTTAGGAGTCCTGCAAAGCGACTTCATTTTGCCTGGCCCTGGGTGGAAACCACACAAACCCACCGAGTTCTGTAGGAATTCCTGCAGGAGCCAAAGCTGCTCGGATATGCACAGCAAAGGGTGCATAAATCTGAAACTGTGGTTTGTGACATGCCTCCATCCACTTCTTTTTTCCAATTAGGTAAATCAACTTAACCTGACTCTTCAGGAGAAAGGGAACTACTCACCTGCATAATTAATATTTTGGTAAATAGTGTCCTCCCAGAATTCCAGATGTGTTCAGTGTGAGCAGAGACAGCGTCAGAGGCAGAGCTGAAAGGATCAGAGGTCCTGCTGGGAGCAGGACCTGGAATGTGCTTACCCTGCTGTCACGTTCACCATATGACCCTTGCTCCTCTTGAATTGCAAGACTAAAAAATAAATAAAAAGCTTTTATACAGGGAGAAGGATATGGCTAGTCTTGTTCCAAAATAATTCCAAATATATTATTCTGAAATTACACACTTACATACTGGATAGAATTAAAATTATGTAAATCGTGCTGTTAAATGGCTGACTTCTTTCAGAGGAGCTTGTGCTAAGTGAAGGAATCTTGTTTGGTAGAGCTGCCTTGATAGATTTCAGAATGACAGGCTCCACATCAACTTAATAACATGCAAGCAAGGGTAAAAATTTATCATCTCTGCTAATTGCAAGTCTGTTGTTTTTATACTGCCATCTAGGCCTCAGCCCCTGTTGGAGACCTGTTCTCTTTGGCACTGTGGAGGAGCTGGATAAAGGATATTTTGCTCCTTAAAAACTTAATAAAGGATATTTTACTGTTCATGTATGTAGAAAAGAGAAAGGCAAACCCTACAGGAGAACAGGCTTCCTTCACCTGCTGTAAATCAGGCTGTGATTAGAACAGACCTTCCTCAGGAATGTGTAGAATAGGAATTAATGTGCCAAATTTTAATTCTGTGCTGTCCCATGAGTGGAGGAAGTTCACTGTTTTATGGAGAAACACAAAGTTTCACCTATATTGCCATGCAGTAGGGCTGAACTGTCATGAGAAGAATACTGTCTACAAATGACCAGGTGGAAAGTATCTTCTAAATAATAGGTAGATTTTAGCTCTGTGTATATTTGTGAAGATCACAACTGTAATGTCAATATTCCAAACAATTTGGTTGAACGTATCTGTGTCTCAGTTTTCCTTTTCAGTTTTTTTTCATAACCTGCATGTTTATTCATATTTGGGAGAGTTGTTCATATTCCTTCCTGTGTATGAAAGGAAAAGCACGTGGAACAAGGAAAAAATTTTGGGTATGATGAGGCTATGTGGAGAGCTTTGTTAAATACTTGGGGTAGACAACAGGGGTAGCAGTATTTTTTAATTAAATTTATTGTAGTTAGCGTAATATTATTTCATTTATCAAATATTATTACTATTCTGTTTAGATCTATCATTTATTAATTTATTTTTTTTTAACTCAACCAGGTTATTCTGAGCAATTCCAAAAATACCCCTCAACATGCCCGAAAATCCAGCAGCAGGTACGTGGTCTGAAAATGATTCCTTTTGCTGAATGCTGAAATAAAAGCTCCATTCCTAACCTGGACTCGTTTGTGGTGCAGATAAGCAGCAGGTGCTGCAGATCCTGGATCGGCTGCAGGCAAAACTGCAGGAGAAAAGGGATTCCCAACACCAGGAAAACCTCACCATCCTAAGGAACACCCTCAGGAGCCCCTTGTTCAACCAGATCCTGACTCTCCAGCAATCCATCAAGCAGCTGAAGGAACAAGTGAGTGCAGAGTTGCTGCTGTTGGTGTGGTGATAACTCTGGGCGAGTGGAGCTCGAATCAGGATGTGTAGGCGTGTGTTAACGAGGGTGCTCTCATTAATTAGCTGTAACGTGGTGTTAGTGAGTGTTGGGCCCTGGTTTCTGGTGTCTGCAGAGGCACTGCTGAAATGAGAAGTGGTTTTGCAACAAAGAGGTCACGGGGCAACGTGCTTTGAAAGGGATGCAGGAGAGGCAGGGTTGTGTTGGAAAAAAACATCTGCAAAAGACATCAGCTCCAGTATTTGGAGTCCTGAACAGTGTTGGAACTGAGATCCTTTGTTTTTCACAGAAGCTAGGTGCTGTTTATCAGCTCACTGGCAGCATTTTTTCTGCCTAAAAAACAGCATCACTTAATTCCTGCTAATTTTTATGAGAACGCTTAACCTGCTTTGGGAAGTAAAGTGTAGAAAACCCAGCCTGAAGATTTGCCAAGCTCTGATGCAGCTGTACCCAAGCAAGTTTTAAAATGACTTGGCTTCAGCAGAGCTTGGAACTTCTGTGGACTGGTTTATAAAGCCAAGTGATGTTGTGGACATGGGCGTACATGACACAACTGCACGGACAGGTCTCACCCTGCAGTTAAGTTAAAATCATCAGCAAGCTTAAAACCAGGGACTGACCAGCAGCAGTCCCTGTCTCTGCTGTCCCTGTGCCCAGCTGGAATTACAGCAGGGTGGCTCTCATGGGGACAAGGCTGTCCCTTGCCAGGTGTATTTCAGGTGTTCCTGCCTGGCTGGCCTGGTGGTGGCTGTTGCATTCATTATCTCTTCTTCCCAAGTTCCCATAGGTGCTGCATCCCTTCCTTCCAAGGCTTGGATGCATGTCTGCAGGCTATTAAAAATGTATTAAAATGCAAATGTATCTAAGAAGTGACTGTGACATGGTGGGGTTTGTATTCAGAATGTTCAGAATTCTCATATCTAGAAAATTTAGGTTTTCTTGAAATTCTATTTAAGCAGGAGCAGCTTCATTCAGGATGGGATTTTCCAGTTTATTATGTCACAGTGGGAATATTTTTCATTTCTTCATTATTAGTGAGGACTAGAAGTGCAAGTTCTAGCAGTGATAACATGTTCAGTGGTAGTTTGTGCCCTAGGCTCTCTTTGGGGAATGGATAATACAAACCAGGCTTCAGGCTCCTGAATGACTCAAAATATTTGAATTTTTGTGCCAAAATTCTGTATAGGTTTCCCTAACAGTTGCAGCAGTGCTTGAAAGCCTCTTTAGTGTTTGGTGCTTTTGCATGTGTTGTTTCTGGAATAGCAGGGTGAAAAGAGGATAAGGGGCACGGGCAGGGGAGAAGCATGAAAGAAACAGAGAAAAAACGAGTGGAGTAGAAACACAGCTGAAACACTCAGGGAACTCCTGAAAAACAGTTTAAATTTGATATGATAGCTTGATTATAGATTACATATTAACACTGCCCGATTTATACAGGTGAGTATATTTGTGTAAATGGACATACATGAACATAGATATTTTTGCTCCTTTCGCAGCCTGCACATAAAATGGTATTTGTGGAGAATCCTTCTTTTGTTTCCAGTAGTTTTTCCACACCTTTGTTCATTTTCAACAGCTCAGTTACATGCCTCCTGACCGCTCGGTGGATTTTGATTTTACCAAGAGGGGGCTGTTGGTGTTTGCTGACAAATCAGTCACTGCTGGGACACCTTGCACTTCACCTGGACCCAAAGCATCAGCCTTCACTCCAAACCTGGGAGTTAATGAATTTAACATGATCATCCAGAAAATGGCAAAGGTAAGGCTCCAAGGTTTAGTGAACCAAACTTTTTTTTTTTCATTTTGGAGCATTTCACACTGGGTTTTTTTGTTGTATGTCTGGAACGTTGGTGCCTCCTAACCAGGAGGGAGTAGAAGTTTTGAGAACTTTTCCCTGTGGAAGATAATGTCAGCAATAGGAAGTAGCTTGGTGGCTTGTTTTGTTTTTTTTAACTTCCATTGCCAATTTTCTGTTTTACATTCTACCAAACACACCAGCGTAGTAAGGAAATTTCAGTTGCCAGGAAAAATTTTTGGTATTTGATGACACTTAATTGAAAATGGACATTTTCAGCAGAAACTTGTTTTGATGGAGGCACTTGTTTATCAAGTACATTTTAAATTGGAAATGTACCAACTTTATGAACAGTGCAAAGGATTAAAAAAACTAGCATGTAATATTTTATTTAACTCTTTATTTAGTATGTCTTAACTTTGCCAGACGGATGCAGATGTCCCAAATTCCCTAAGAATTTGTACAGGTGCTGACATCCACCCATGTGGGATTGGCATTTATACCACAAATGTATTGTTCTGTGTTATTTGGAAGCATTAATTTAATTGCTTAGTCATGCCTTTCTATATTAAGTAACTGTTGCTAATTGACTACCTTAATGTAGCTGTAATATTTGGAGCATTACTCTTCTCATTAGTGTGTCATTAACTCATCAGAGATAAGATTTAGTAGTAAAGGCTGCACGTTATTTGGAATAAAAAGAGAGCATTCTCCCCGTAATATTTCCCAGTAAACAACCCCAGAAATCTTGTATTAGAACTGAAAAACAGGCAGTTGCAAAAGCAAACTTTTTTTTAGCATTATGTGTGAAGCTGCAGGGAGGGGAAGGAAATTAATTTCTCCATTTAAAAGCTGCAGTCTTTTGAATGCACACCTAAAAATCAGCATTAAAAGCAAGGGGAGCCAAAAGACAAGTAATTTAGTTCAGCTACACAGCATTTCCAGAAATCCCAAATATATTGCTCTAGACAGCACTTTGTTCATAGTTTTCATCCAGTTTGGAATTCATCTCATAATGTGAATGAAGTGTGAAAGTGGCTCTTAAATTCCCTGAGGTTTCAGAACCTCAGAGTGCTTGCATATCCAATACGTTGCTATATTAAAAATAATAAACGGAGGAGCTTTTATAGAAATAACATATTCAGTATTTTGCCTTTGCTTAGTCTTAGGAGGAGAATAATTCTCCCAGTGTTCATAAATTTTAAACTAGCTCATTCTATTGCACTGAAAATTAGTAAATAATTTTATCTTCTGTTTTATTAGGGAAGACAAATAGAATCAATAACGATTGATAAACCTTCTGTTGGAGGTCTTGGATTTAGTGTGGTTGCCCTTAAAAATCCCAGCCTGGGAGAAGTTGGTATCTTTGTCAAGGAAGTCCAGCCAGGAAGCATAGCTGACAGGTGAGATCTTCATAATTGTGTTGGAAAATTGTATTTTCCATGAAGGGAAAAGTCACGACCTTCACGTTGAGAGCTCTATGAAAATAACATGTTTGTCTGGGTTATCTGGTGGGATATTTTGGTGGTGGTATCTTGAATTCCGGTTTTTCAGCTAAAAGGGACTTGTGTTTTGAGGATCAGGTTTTCAGATGAGTTTTAAATATCCGAGCCATTCATAAATGGAATTTCCAGAAATCGTGACTCACTTTAGAGAATCTTGAGTGCTGATTAAAAAAACAAAAGAAAACTCAGAAAAGAACAAAAAGAAAATAAATTAGATTCCATTTTATTTTTTATACATTGTGTCCGTGAAAGATTTTTTTTTCACCCCCTTTTTCCTTTATTTATGTGCCTCTGACAATGCCCTATTTATAGTTGGTTTTACTGTTTGTTTCCTGTGTAAATTTAGATCCACTCCTCCCAACAGATCCCTGCACAGATGTCATCATAGAATCGAGGCTTCAGGCAGTTTCTTCCTGTATTGTCTGTGGGTTTTCACCCAACAACAAAAGACAGAGCAATCCTTTAAAAATAAAAACGCGATTGTAAAACCACAAGAGTTGGCATGAGACAAATGCAGTGCTTGGAATTACGTTTCAAGAAAATGTGTCTAGATTTCAAGTCATTGGTGTCACTTTTTAAATAACACATGTCAGGAAGTGCCAACACAGGATGACAAAAAGAGTGGGGAGAGGTTGGAATGATAATGGCGATGGGCCCACAGAGAACACACCAGAGAACACTTAAAGAAAAGCATATTAAGGCTTTTTCAAAGTGGAGACAGATGGACTGATCCGGATGTCAAGGGAGGGTGAATATCTCACTTTAGGATTTGATGACCTGCTGCTCACTTTCTTTGATGAGAGAATCTGAAATATGGTTAGTGCTCGAAGAAAGTGATTTCTGGGAAACATCTTAAACATGGCACGATAAAAAGGAAGTTTCGAATGCCTTAGTTAAGATGTGCAGTTATATTGTTTCGGAGTTTATAAATTTCCCCAGCATGCTTCCCATTTTGCTTCTGAGACAAGATCTCCTGGAGACTTTTTTGGATTCCTACAGAGCTTTGAAGGCAGTGTCTGTCTATGTAACAGTTTGGTCTCGTGCTCAGAATGAATATTTAACAAAGGAGATGAGTGATGGTTTCTGTCTTGTCACAGATCTAAATTCATCACTGGGGTGAATTAACTGTGAAATTTATATTATCTCAAGGTAGCAACTGAACTGTGTGTTGCTCCAAGAAAGTTTCATGTCTGAGGCTTGATGCTATAAATTTTAAGTAAAATATAAATATGCAGCACATCAGTCTTTAGATTAAGCAGTGATACAAAACAGCATCAAAGCCTGAGTTGTGGGTTCTTAGAGATGGCATCATGTAGTGCTAAACATAATGAAGAATAGTTCCTAGTTTATTGTGTAACTACAAAAATACTTTTTCCTGCTTTGTAGTTCAATATCATCGAGAAAGGATAAGGGAACTGCAATTAAATTTTGAATAGAAGCAAAGTAAAGAATTGAGCAAATTTCTGTACCATGAAAAAGCTGGAACAAAATGTGGCTGGGCAGTTTGGAACAGTGTGGATTGAATGTAGTGTGTGAGCTGTTGAAGGCACCCTAATAAGCAGATTTTTAAAATACATAAACATTTAACCTTGCACCACTGCGTATTTTGCATGTTCACATTTCAGTTACACGAGCCTGAATGCGAAGTCACTGTGCTGCATTTAAAAAATTGCTTTCAATGTTTTGTTAAGGGATCAAAGACTGAGGGAAAATGACCACATACTGGCCATTAATTGCACGCCATTGGATCAGAACATTTCCCATCAGCACGCCATTGCCCTCCTCCAGCAATCCACAGGATCCCTGCATCTGGTGGTGGCTCGGGAGCCACTTCAAGGGAACAGCAGAACTGCCTTACTAAGTGATGTAAATCCACCTGAGACTGTGAGTTGTAATACTGTCAAAATCAGATTTTGAGCTGGGCTGGATGTATTTTTTTTTTTTCCTGTGACTCTTAAGTGTTTGTGGTAGCAAGTTTTACATAGAGGGATTTTTTTCCTTTAATCGGATTTTTTTTATGTGATGACATTTCATTTAGACTCACCATGTAGTTAGCACAGAGCTTCCATTGCAAAGCTGCATGGAGTTGTTATAAAACTGATCCTGGGTTTTTATGGGCTAGCAGAAGCTTTGGTAGATCACCATATTCTTATCAGCCCAGTCTGTTCAGCACAGGCTGGATGAAGCATTTTATGAGAATATCCAGCTGAAACCTACTTGTGCTCAGCAATTAAAGATGCTCTGATTACCTCTTAAAAGTGAGTAAACATAACCTGCCATGAGCACTGCTTGAAACAGCCCAACCAATTTAAACTGGCACTGCTCACACCAAAAAGCCTTGTCTTTGTTTTAAAAAACAAACACAATTTATCTGTTAAAGAACCTCTCAATCCCTGTTTATTTATCGGCTTGTTTTGTTTGGTTGGGTTTTTTTTTTTCCCCCCCATCTGCAAATTTCAGTGATTGGGAAGCCTTTTGTTTTTGTGACAAAGGAGAGCTTGTCACTGGGACATGTAATAAGCCAGGGCTGAACTTCCATCTGTGTTCCACCCATATGGTCCAGGTGGCTTCCCTGAATTCGGCCAAAACTGCACACCTAAATCCAGGGATTTCAATATTGAAATCTGAATTTATTCTGCTGGCAGATTTTGATGAAAATCTGGGTAAAAGCAGTGCTTTTCCTTATTCTTAGTAATTATTTCCCTCATGATTATTATGGAGGTAGTGAAATCTGAAGGTTTTAGTGGATAATCAATATTGTTTATTGCACTGAAAATTTTAAAGAATTAAATTTTAAATGCTTTTTCATTGAAAGATCTGCACTGAACAGACTAACAAAATAAAACACAAATATATATCTCTGCAGGGGGTCCTTAAAATTCTTTTATGATATTTAACTGGCTTTGGCAAAGATTTTCAGTATGCTAATAAATCCTTTATTCGCAGAAGATTTAAATCTGCCTACTTTGCTCCATTTGGGCCTGTATGAGATATTAATCTGACAGAAACATTGGCTGGGTTTGGGTTGCTTAACAGCTTTGTTATTTTCAGATTGTCTTGTAGAACATAAGGTCATGGTACAGTGTAGCTTAGAAATTTGCTTCCAATCCAGTATGGCAGAATATTGTGCTGTGCTATTAATTCAGTGCTGGATGGGGATGTTCAGAGTGTGTAAGTGAAATAACAGAAATAAGAATTTGGGCAACGCTGAGTGAAAGCTGGGCCAGTGCAAGCTCCTTGCCTCTGTTTTTCCCTCTTGTTTGCAGTACTCTGGATTTATGAAAAACTGAAAGGATACTTTTCATTTTGGCAGGAGAATCTTAAAAATTGCTTTTTTTTTTTTTTTCTCTTAGTCGAGCTTTTTCCTAGCATCCTGTTATCCCGAAAGTGGAGGACAAAAAATGTGCGCTTAAAAACAGATGAGAAATCCCACCGTGTATTTATAAGGAAATGGAGCTGAGTGAACAAAATCCCACAGATCTCCAGCAATGTGGGGTGGGAGACAGAAAATTGGTGTGATTAATTCTCCTCCTTCCTGCTACACGTGAAAGCGAGAAACGCTAATGATGGTCCGAAATTAAAATCTCCTGTTTTTATTAATTGCAGATTCACTGGGGCCACATTGAAGACGTTGAGCTGATTAACGATGGTTCAGGATTAGGCTTTGGAATTGTAGGAGGAAAGTCGAGCGGAGTAGTTGTAAGAACAATTGTTCCTGGGGGATTAGCAGATCGGGTAATTTGTTATATTATGTCACTTCTTGTTTGATTGCAAAGTATAATTAACCGCTTCTGACAGTCTTAAAATAAACTAATATACTTAAACAAAAGGAAGCTGGTAGCATCAAAGTCTGAATGCCAGCACATGCTTTATAAATAAATACATTGAAGGTATGATTGAGGAAAAAGTCAGCACCTGATATAAATTAAGTTGTTTCTCAGACAAGCTTTGGATTTTGTAACATTGTTGAACATGCAAAAATTCTGAAAAGTTGCCTGATATTTTTTCAATACTTTTGGTATTTTCAGCCTTTGGTCAGTCTGGGGCTGGACAAATACTCTGTAGAGTTTGGCACATTTTGCAACATCTATGGGGACGAACTCTCCAAATGAAATTAATTATCAGGCAAGAAAATCTGCCTTGCCAAAGTCACTGCATTGCAGGATTCAGTTTAGAGACTGAAAATGTCCTGTTTTCAGTGGGTTTCAGTGGAGGGGGCTTTGATCCCTGCCTTGCAGCCTGACCAGCTCAAGGAGACACACAAGGTTTGGGGCAAAGCCTTTTGAAGTTGCCCGGGCACAGTTTGCACCTTGGATTGTTTGTCTTTAGAGACTCGGTTGCTGGGTGTTGCTACATTTCAGGAGTAGAACGTTTGCAACAACAAAACAGATTCAGATTTTTAAAGCGAATTTGGTCATGGTGAGTTGCAATATCCGAGAACTGGAACACATGCAGACAAAAGAGAGAGGCAAAAGTACTTCCTCCAGTACAGGATGGAACTAAAAGCTGGAAATTTGGAGAGCTTTACTGGAAAATGTTGGCTTTTTCTTGACTCTCTCCCTCTGAACCTGCCATGTATAAATGAGTATTTTTAAATTTTTGTCTAACACCTGTTTTGCTGTAAGGAATAAAGTGTTTTGGCTACCAGTGAAGCATGTAAGCTAAGAACTCACCACATCATTCTCAGCTGAATGAGACATCATTAAGAACATGTGAAATAATGAGGCATGTACATGCTAAAATTGGATGAGTTTGTAAATGAGTTTGAGTTGGTTCTGGGAATAACTCTGTGATTGCTGAATAAATCAATGCACCAAAGGTGGTGGAGCTGTGCTGATCAATGCCAGCTGAGAATTTGGTGCTAGAAATTCCTGCTTGTGATGGAAATGATGATGTAGGTCATGAATCATAATTACCAGGTAAAAAATGGATTTTGAGGAGTCTTGTTACCTTCAGTGGATTTACTCACTCGAGTTGGAGCTGGTCACATGAGGAAAAAAAATTGCTGGGCTGATATAGAAGTATGAGGAGAAAACTCTATACAAACTCCTAAATCAAAATGCTGTGCTTATATTCTAACTCCTATCTGATGAGGAGTGTTCCATGAAACAACACACAGCAATCTGTGAGATTATAAAACATTGTTGCTGCCTGTTTTTCTCCTAAATGAGCAAAACAGTGGAAAAAAACCAGCACATAACTGTGTGAACCAGTCCTTGAATTATTCAAAATGTTGCCACGGTGGTCATTTTTTTCTGGCATTTTCTCACGTTGGTTCTCATGGCCATGAAGATGCCCCTACACAATCCTGGTTTTGTGATGGAACAGATACTTTATGGACGGACTGGAAACACTTTTTGCCATTTTTATTTGCGTTTGAAGGACGGGAGGCTGCAGACAGGAGATCACATCCTGCAGATTGGAGGGACCAACGTGCAAGGAATGAGCAGCGAGCAAGTTGCCCAAGTGCTGAGGAACTGTGGGAATTCTGTCAGGATGATTGTTGCAAGGGACCCCAAGTGTGAAGTCATGGAAGCTCCACCAGCACCCCTGAGCTGGCCAGTCAGCACATTACCTTCCCTTCAGAATGGAAATGTGAGTACCTGCTGCTTCCTTGTCACATTTTTAAGTGTGTCTGTGGCTTGGGATCAGAAGGGAAGGAGAGAACAGAGTGTTCCTGGGCCCTAAAGTGCTTCTCCTCTCTTGAGTTTCCAGATATCATATGCTTGTGTTTAAGTGGTCATTATTACAGCCCTGCCTTCTATAATTTTCCCCTTTTTCCTGTGTCTTATTAATACCTGTAATCTTGGGATTGGAATGACCAGCTTTACAGAATTTATTTCAGAGTGGCTAATTTAATTACCAAGACCATAAACATTATCGATAAGTGGTACTTTTAGTTCTTCTTCTTAGCTCATTACATTTTTCCTAATCAATCACTTGTAAGTGGATTTAAAACTGGACTGTGAATTTCCCTAGTCTGAAATCCAGAGAGCCACGGCCACACCAGAATTATTCAGCACAATCATCTTTTTATGAAACATAAGTGTAATGTTTTCATAGTCTACGCTACTGCCTGTGATAGGAAATATATCTAAAAATTTTGAAACTTGTTTTAGCAAATCTTATCATGGTCATATCAAAGTCTCTTGTTTTTGAAGTCATTCTTTTCAGTTTTGAGTAATTAAAATCAACAAATGCTACACTAAGTGTACAGTAGGTCTCGAAACATAAACAAAGCTGTGCTTGTGTACCATCTGCTACTACTGTGCTGCTTAGATTTAGGTGTAGAATCTGAGTAGCCTTTTCTTTCTTGTTGGTTTCTTGAATGTGAGTGAAGAGAGCTGGGTTGTTTTTTTTTTTATTGAAGCACTGTTTTTAAAGGTCAGAGTTGAAGTCACTTTGCTGCAACCTCACCTCTTAGCCCACGGGGCACAGTCACTGCAGAGGCAGGTTTGTGTTTTACATCCCTGGGAAAAGCTGTGGCTGTGTCAGTCAAGGATTTTGGGTCCTTCTGGAGCTCCTGTTTTGCCCAGGAGGGATCAGTGTGGCAGGAAATGCAGTGTCCTGGATTTGGGGGGGTGATCTGCATCCCTGAGGCTGGAGTCCCAAAACTGGGCTTGCCCAATACTCTCACTTTAAGAGGCTTTCCAAGGGAATCAGCATTGCTTAGGGACAAAATAACGTGGGTGTAGTTTTGTTCCCTCCACAAAATATTTTTTTTCTCTCTTCCTGTTGTCACTGGTCAGCCCTGAGCACTGTAAATGCTGCAGCCCTTCTAAAATGTAATTCCTTCTCAGTGTCTTTTCAGTGTCCTCCGTGTTCCTGCTGTGCAGTTTAAAGGGGGAAAAATCATTTTCTGAACTAAATATGCCTTCATGTGTAGATTTGAAGAAACTCCTCTTCCTAGTGCCAGGAGAAATTTGCAAGGACAAGATTAGTTGTTAATCTGAAGGAATTTATTAATTTAATGATGATTTCAATGATCCACCATTCAGATTGTGTCAGATTTATAATGGAACTTATCCCTGTAATCTAGTTTTTCTCTGGTTTCTGAGTGCTTTCACTAAGTATGAGCTTTGGAATGGAAAATATTTTCCTTTTCTCTTTTTTTGCAAACAAGCAGAAAGGCATTTTTAATAGGTGACTAGTTATTTTCAGTTTTATATTAATATTTAATTTTCTTTGAATTTCCTGCAGTAGAGAATAACTGCAACTATTTCTGTGTGTGGGCACGAGAAAACAATCTTATTATCTGTACTATCCAAAATAGTGACAGCAGTGTGAGCAGCCTGCTTGTGCTGACTGTAGTTAGGACTTTGTACCTTGATTTTTCAGGACTTTATTTCAATTATTTTGCATTCTAGCAGGGGTGCTACTTAGAGAGAAATGTTTGCAGCCAGAGCACTGACTCTGAGGAGCTTTTTGATTGTCAAAGCAGCCAGGCTCTCAAGGCCACAGCTCCATTTCAGCTGTTGCTGTGGGCTTGTTTGCTGTAGATAAGTGACAGCATCCAAACTTATCTTCATCTCCATCAGCCTCTTATGGAGCAAGGGAGTTGGAAGGCATTTAATGAGCTTAATGACTTTGCTGGTGGAGGGAGGTGTGTGTGATAACCAGATAGTGCCCATCGATTTCTCTCCCATTGAGAAGTGAAATAGGTATGGCTGGAACTCTGGGCTGCTTTTAATATGGGTCCTTCCAAAGCTGATACTTGGCAAGCATTTGATTGAACTTCTCTTTTTTCACTCCCTCAAGAAATGTTTTCCATTTTCCCAGTCCGTTTTTTGCTGTTGGCACTGACAGGATCCCTCTTGATTTCATCACTTTAACAGACCTTACTCTCATCATCTTCTTTTTGATCTCATTGCTCTGTATCTGATTACAAAAAGCAAACAACTCTATGTATTTTAATTTATTCCTTGCAATCCCAGATTTATGTGCTTGATTGTTTTTCTCCTTTGGTCTCACCAGTGTCTTTACTGTTCCCTGCTTGAACTCTTGCCTTGCAGTTCTGATTTTTACTGGTCAGAGGAAAGTTGCACAGACGTCCCAGGGCCAGCTTTGTAGGGACTTTACAAATGAATTTATGTTGCATTTAAACAAAAGGAAAAACAAAATCTCACTTCTGAAGGTCTTAATTAACCTGCAATATTGTAATGGCACTGGGAAATCATGAGAATTTCTTTACTGTCTTTATTTCTAGGATAATGACAACTTTTTTGACACCTATGACGTTGAACTTATAAAAAAGAATGGGCAAAGCCTGGGAATAACAATTGTTGGATATGCTGGCACATGTGATATAGGTGAGTTATACAGGATTTAGGAAAATGTTGGACAGGGGCTTCTCAAATACCCTTTGTTGACCATGGGGAAAATTAATAACTCCTACCTGTGCTAGGATATGGGGACATGAGATTCACTAGAATTACAGATCAGCATCTAGTATTTAGTGGGAATTTATGAAAAGGAAGTGTTAGTGTTTCAGGGGTTTTTTTATTTTTTTTCTTTGTTTTTATCCCCTTGTTCTCATTGGAAGTTACAATTAATAATCAAACTGCAAACATGACAAAGGACAGCTTTTCTGGTTTCCATGTTTCTCTTCTCTTTTATTTTTTTTTAAAGAAAAATCCTTTTTCATTAAGATTTAAAGTACTAAATTCTTTAGCTGTAAGATGATTGAAGTCCTGATCAAAGTCCTTAAGCACATACTTTACTTTTAGCTTAGTTAGTCCTATTGAAATCAAACGCAGCATGGATTTAAGTGATTGTGGTTTAAAGCCTGGGTAAGCACAGGGATGAATCCATGGAGGAGGTGGCCTTTTGTGAGCCATTTTAAGGAAAAAAATTGGAGGTCAGTATACAGGTGGTTGTGTCAGTGCTGGGTTTTTGGGTTTTTTTCCACCAGAGATCCTCAGTTTTGTGTCAGGCTGTGGGAGTGGTAACGTGCAGATGGTGGTGGTTTGCAGAATCATCACTTTATGGGCAGAAGGAAGTGTGTGAAAAAGGCTGGAATTAAAAATCTTAATAAGAAAAGAAGCAAATTAGGTTAATGCAGTGACTTGTTTCTCTTCCCCTCCCAACAGAACCTTCAGGGATTTTTGTGAAAAATATAATACCTGGTAGTGCTGCTGACCACAATGGCCAAATTCATGTTCATGACAAAATTGTTGCTGTAAGTAAAATACTGTGCTTGTATATTGCTGTAGAACTAATACATTTCACATCTCTGTTAAAAGAACAACATAGTACAGACTTTCTATAATTAATTAAACCTCCTCTGCTTTGCAGAGGAAATAATTTGGTGGTTCATGTTTGTTTAGGTAGACTTGTGACAGAAATGAGCTTTGGCTTTCTGTGGTTAAAGTATTATTTTATATTCAAAGAAGTAGTAAATAGTAGTTAACTGTGAAAGAGGCAAGCATTTGGATTAAAGTGGTTCAGAGTGGAGAATCTTGGCTTTTGGCCTGCAGTAAAGATGAGCAGCATTAACTTCTACTTGAATTGAATGTGATTTGAGGATTGTTAAGATTTTGCAAGATGTGGCACATTGTTTGTGTTCCTTAATGGCTGTGTAGTCTGGATACAATCAAAATGTTAATGGTCACAATTTAGGTTTAAAAGCCCAAGCTTTATGTGTAGAAAAATGGAAAAACCATTGAATAACAGTGAATTGAATAATAGCCAATTTTACATTCACAGCACAAGCAGGAATGAATTCCACAGTCTTTTTGTTTTAAGAGATAATATTTATAGAGATATGATTTTAAATTACTTTTAAAATGGCGTACCATGCCAGACTTTCCAAAGTCAGCTTCTCCTCTGTGAGAGCAAAAATTAATATAACCTTTTATCTGCAGGAAAGGCCCTATTGATGCATGATCTGACAGTGAGGTGAACACAGCATTTTGGGTGTAAATTAAAATATCTGATAATGTAAGAACTGGGCTGGATTATACCAACAGTTGTTTGTAGAGGCTTGTGTGGGGCATGTTAGAAATCCATGAGAAAGCCAGCAGTGATAATGAATTAACAGAGTTCTAGGCTGGATGCTCTGCTTGGAACCTTCATCCACAATCCTTGTCAAGCTGGTTTTGGGAAGTAAAAAAAAAAAAAATTAAGGAAAAATCTGTGATTACTTGTATCAGATTAGTAAACTCTGTTTCGTGGCTGTCCCCATGAAAACAGAAAGAAGAAATTACTGTTGTGTTTCCTTTTAAAACGGAAATAAATTCTCATCAGTGAAATGTAACAGATTTAATGGGATTGTTTTGCAAATATTGCTGTCTTGGGAGAGTAACCCTGTAATTCCTGCACTAAACAAAGTGGCTGTTGCTTACAGCCTCTGGTACTCCACAGCAGAGCCTAAGAAAGCAGCACAATTAACTGTTATTTGCTACAATTTTCTTGTTTTAGGTTGATGGAGTCAATATACAGAATTTTACCAACCAAGAAGTGGTAGAGGCACTGAGAAACACGGGACAGACTGTGCGTCTCACCTTGCTTAGAAGGAAGCCTTCCTTTACTATTTCTTCAGAAACACCTTCAGATAGAGGTAATTCTCTTTTTCTAGCCACTGATTTTATTTTTCACTCAATTTGCAGTTACCTCATTTAACTGTTTAGTACTGGGCACCACATGATCCTCAGTTTTTTTAACAGTGCACTGTAGGAAATTAAGGTACTTAAAGGAGAAATGGAAAGAAGCTAAAACGAGAGATTCAGGAAAATTCAGTGCAAAACTCCTGTGTAGCCAGCCCACCATTAAAAAAAGAAAGAATTAGTGAGGTGGTGTTACTACTTCCTATACTTTGCAGCATATGATTTGGGTTTTTTTCATCTGTTTTCACAGTGCAGCCAACTGTTCCAGTCTTTGTGTCCCCTGGAGCTGTAGGGACTGAAATTAGTGTGGCCACTAAGAAGGAGGGAAAGCAAGAACAGAAGGATAATCTCCACAATGAAAAGCAGCAGAGTCTACACCAAGCAGGTAGATAGGACATCCTGCAGTGCCTCTTCTGATTCTGGTTAAGGGCTCCCAACTTTAATCCATTTTCAGCACTGATGGGCTGTCACGGCTCACTCCAGCTTTAGCTTTTGCCCTGCAATGTTTTCTGAAGTAAAGCTCTGTCTCTTGGATCTAACCAACTCTTTCATCCCACTCTGTCCCCAGACTGTAGCACTGGGCACAGGTCTGCTGAGAGTGGATTCTGTGATATCTCAGGGCCTGGAATTCTCTGCATCTTCTTGCTTGCATAAATTTTGCCCCTTTTCCAGTCAGCCGTGGTCCCCTTTGTTTAGGGAGGGTTTTTTTAAGGTCACAGTCAGTGGAGATGCAGCTCTTCCAGTACTCAGGAATGACTCCCATTAACTCTGTAGAGCTCAAAGCCTCCAGCTCAGTGATTCCTCTTTGTGGCCCTTGTCCTGCACTGATGACCTGAGGTGTCCTGCCTGCAGTTTTCTCCTGAGAGACACTTTATTTATCATCCTCCTGTGCTGCCAGGGCCCTGCACCAGCCTGCTGGGTGAGCAGCATCAGGAGGTGGGACTCCAGGGAATTCATATTTATTTCCTGATCAGTGTTACCTCAGTCATACCCATCTTCATGGTTTGATAATCTTAGAGATCTTCTCCTGCCTTAATGAATCTGTGATCTTCTTGCCCTCACACATCTTAGACTGCTACAGAGTATTTTCGTAACATTCTTCTGGTTTCCTGTACCACATCTCTGAACATGCTGCAATTTCCTCTTTTGGCACTGCAGTAGCTTCATCAGAACTTGTGTCTTGGGTGTAAAGACCCAATAGCTGGAGTTCAGAAAAAGCATTTTTTAAACAAAAGGCATTTTTTTAACAAAAGGCATTCAGACACACAGGCAGGTCACAAAGGCATGGGCTGCTCTGGGTTTTAGCTGAGTTTGGAACCAAGGCTGGAGGTCTTTCCAGAATCTTCAATTCCCCCACAGATTTCTGGGCTCATCTACAGGAACTTCTGGGTGAATTTATACAGCTTGTGTTAAAGTCAGCATAAATTATCCTTATGCCTTGTAGTTTCTAAGATATGTAGATGTAATAGAGGATTCTAAATTACGGCTGTCAATGAATAGCAATTTTGCTGTGATTGTTGAAGATCTGTCAGTATTAAAGACAACCTGGAAACGAGAGAAATGTAGCAGTTCTTATATTCCATTCTGTTTTACTTTTCTGTCCAAGCCTTGTAACCAGACATCCTTTGTTGTGACTTTTGCATGTTCCCAGAAATAGGAAGCCAGAACAGAGGTGGTTGAGTAGCTGAGAGTTGAGGTTCTCAAAGCATTGTTTTGCTATGACAGAGGCTGGAAAAGAGCAACACTTTGCCTGTCCTATGTCACTTACCCGTTTTTTTTTTTTTTACTGTGGGACTTGTATGCATATTTTACTCTTGCAGAAATAAGATATATGAGATTTCACCTTGGAACAAGATTTAATGGCCAACTTTAAATTCCAGAGATAGGTGCTTATTTTGGATGTGGTGATGGGCACTTCATTATAATTGGTGCTAAAGTAAATACTGCTAATTTAAGGCTCTGACTAAACTCTGGAAATGCTTTTAGAAGTTTAATGTAAAAGGTATGTTTTATAAAATGCCTATTACTTCCCTTTAAACCCAGTTGTGTGAAATTCTTATTAAATTGTGTTTCCTGGGGAGGTATTAAATAGTAATTCTGGCCAGGCAAAGCCACACTTAAGGAGTTCTGGTACAAAGGGAACGGGGTTTGAGCTGCAACGTGCATGAGGCCTGAAACTCAGTGCTGGCAGAGTGCAGGCAATGAATTTAACAGCAGGCTCTGCAAGCCTGCAGGCTGGGCAGAACTGCTCCATCCTCCTTGCAGGAGCACTCAGAACCCAGAGGGACAATGCTGGGAGTCAGGAGTTTCAGGGATGCCTGGGGAAAAAGCCCCAGCAGCAGGGCAGGTAAAGGTAGGGCTTTAAGGAAAAGCACAGTACACACCCTTGAGCAGTAACTTCATGAGAGCAGGAGGAAGCTGCAAGAAAAAGAGATCCTAGTTTTGAAGAAGCTGACAGTTTTGACCAGAAAAGATGATTTTTACAATACGTTTGTGGTTTCTTCTTCGTGCTTGCTAATTAGAAATGAAAAACTGCCTGGAAGCTCAGGCAGAAGGACAGGCTAAATATGCTGAAAAGTTGTTGCTAATGAAAGCTGTCCCGAGAAGTGTTTTCATTTTTGAGGCCTTGCACATTATAGAAGACATGGTACATATGTCAGGTCATGAGGAATTCAGCTGGATGAGAGACTAGAAAGAAATTTCCTATTAGCTGCCATGTGGAAAAAGCTGTTTGGGGAAAAAGGAACATTGTAAGTGAATTGAGTGATGCCACTGGAATTGAATATATTCAATCCAAATCCTTTCAGCTTACATTTCCACAGTTCTAAGGAAGTTACAATCAGAGACTTCAAAGTGTATTTGAAAGAAAGAAAGGGGAAAACTTCAAATGGAGGCGTGCATCAGCACCTGCTCTGAACAACTCGTAGATTTTGGCAATGTGTTTTGGAAGTGACAAAAAAAATCTGTATTCAGCCAGCTGAACACAGCTTACAGTTGCTGAACTGAACTTTGAGTTTGACCCTGAGATTCATTACTCCTGGTGAACCTTAAAATCTATATTTGGCTGCACAGGGGATTACAGGTGCTTAGGTCCTGTGTGTTCACACAGTTGTAACTCTGTAATAGCAGAAAAGGAGGCTCAGGAATTTCTGTCCCTCTGTTTTTCTGCAAATGGAAGGAGCAGAAGAATGCACTGGTGTTCTGGTTTTGATACAGTTGAGAAGTAAAAACAGTGGTCAGCCTGTGCTTGATAATAAGTCACACATTAGAAACTTTAATTTCCTATGAAGTTAAAAAACCTTAAGTAGCAGTTGAGAATTTTAGGACAATTTGTCTTCCCATTATTTTTTAAGGAGATAATTTATTTCAGAGACAATTGTGGGCTGTATTTACAAACCCAAGTTTTTAATCTTGGTGAGGTGTGGTTTTGGTAGCAGAAAATAGCTATCAGGATTGCTGGAATTCTCAGATATCTGTGTCTCCTTGAGCCTGTAGGTTGAAAATCCTCTGGATATTTCCAAGTGACACGAGCAGTGTGGTTTCTCAGTGCAGATCAGACAGAATTTGCCTGTCTGGCATGGCTGAAAGTGAGCTGGAGAGATACAGGGGTGGGCTGTGTTGTCACAGAAGTAAACTTCAATCTTTGTTTTTATTGAGTGGAAAACTTCAAAGTTATAAAAGCGTGTGATGAGGATTGTATTGCAGAGCTTTATCTTTGCAGTCTGTGAAGGTGTTGAAAGCAGAGGCAGTTTGACAGAGCCATTTGTGCAGGCTTTTGCTCCTAGGTGGGCACTGAGCTCCTCGTGGTGGCTTCACAAATCCCCCCTCCCTGAAGTCTTTTACTCACTGTTTGTGTGCAGAACGTGAGCTTGTGCTTTACATTCCCAATTTCAGGGGACACAGTGATCTGTGCCTTGTCTAGACATCTGACAAACTACTGCACTCATTCAGAGGGGGGAAAAAAAAAAAACCCAGCTTTTGGTAATTCAGCCCCCAGATGCTGCTGCTGTCGCTGCTGGATGGAATTTGCTGTAGAGCTTGATTCTTACCAGTTACACATTGCTCCAGCTTGGAACTTTATATGTGAGCTGAGCTTCTGGCTGAGGTCAAACACAGGGCAGCCAGTCATTTTCTGCTGTCTAGCTCTGTCAAATTGTCTTACAGGACTGTAACCAACTGCCTTGGTTGCATAAGTAAGAAAGCTGAAAAGATATAAATGTCAAGATAGCCAAGTTCCCACGGAAGACTGGTTTAGAACTGGAGCTTATATTAAAGCTCATGTTACTTACTGGCCTAATTAAAGTAGACAAGGCTTTATACCTGCCAAATGTATAAATAAAGTCTGTGCCTGCATTGTGCTGACACAGCCCCTCGATAGCAGCAATATCTTGTCAGGTGTTTTCCTTCTTAAGGGGGCTCGTTTGGGTGGGAGATGATGTTTCCCTGGAGTGGGAAACGCTTTTACGGCAACAAACGATGAAGTCGTGTGAAATTTGTTTTGCAGCCTGAAAGAATGATTTATTTACAGTACTGCATGGCACAGAACTCACATCTCATCACCAGGCATCACCTCTTCTGCCTCTCATCTGAATAAATCACACTTTTACAGAAGCTGACATTCTGCATTGTTTTCCTAAGAAAGACGTTTTTGATTTGCGCTGTTTGATAGACTCAGCTTAATGCACTTCCCTTTTGGGGATTATTCCCTCTAATCTTTTATTTACACTGAATTTTTATTGGAGTATTTAGAAGTAAATGTACTTCTGAATGTACAATATGCTTGTAAATTTAATATTCACTTTCATATTTAGGAAGAGTCCCACTCCCTCCAGCACATGAGCTGAAATCCAAGTGGGAAAACCTGCTGGGACCAGAATACGAAGTTATGGTATGTTTTGTTTCAATAAACTACATTCATGAATGTTATTTCTTTAAATTACAGATCTGTGAGCTTAGCATTACAGGCTGCTTATAGAGCAGTTCAGTGTTTGGAACAGATCTGTAACATCAGATTTTCTTTCCTGTAACATCAGGGCTGAAATGTGTGTTATAGTGAGTTGGGGGATATGTTGCCCTTTCATTTTATTCTGTTTATATAGATACTATTGTTATACAAATAGGAGACGGGAACAGTGATTTAAGGAAATCAGCTGTCCTGTTAAATCTGCATCACAGCAGCCACTTAAAATATATGGCATTTTTATTATTTCATTCATGGTCTATTTGTTTTACTGGGCACTGAATAAAGACAAGGCTCAGGATAGAGCTTCTGTTTTCAGAATAATATTACCATTTTATCTGAAGAATGAAAGAATGATTTTCAAACATGCTGGGAAAATACAAAGTAATTCTCAATAGTGTAACTTTGTGATGCCAGTGTCTAGTAGATATTTCTTCACTTCATATTAAATAATTGCCTAGCAAAAGATTGTTTTGATGAATTGTCACGAGGAGTTGATGGAAATTGTAATTCACTTTTCAGTGCTGGGTGAGCCAGCGAGTACAGATAAAAGACTCCGGACAGCGTTCATTCCAAAGCCTTAAAAAAATTCTCACCACCACCAAGAAAATGCCCTGTTTGTCTTTGCAATGCTTGTCCAGTTGATTTAGAGACACTTATTTTTACTACTTGGAGTAGCCATCGTTCCAGTCACTCTCTGGGAGATTTAAAGTAGCTTTAAGAATTGCCTTGAGAAACTCTCTTCCCTCCTTTCCATTAGCACTCCTTTAAGATCTGAAGCTCGTGTGAGATTATGTACGTGGTGCAATAAATCTGTTTGGCTGCCCACTTCAGTTGCTTGGTATTCCCACCCTTGCATTTCCAGGGGCTGATGTTACCTCCCTGAGCACTATCACACTTCCCACAGAGGATGAAATCCTGCTTAGCTGGTGAATCCAACCATTCCCAATCCTTCTGCAGCCGCCAGTGAAATGTCAGCAGTGGAAATGTTAACGATGGGGCCTCTTGAATAATAGAAGGGAGCTCTCCTGGCATCCCGTTTTGAAAGTCATTTTTTGGTTCTGGTTGCCTGTGCCTGCCTCCTGTGTCCAGCAGCAATGTCCAGTTTGAGTCCAGCCCATGACACCCAGTCCCTGTGTCACAGCACCCTCACTCAGCCCCCAGAACTCACCCCAAAGGTGCCTCCAGGATTCTCTCAGGAGTGTTTATCTGGAGAGGAAATAGCTCTTTGAGGAGAGGGGTTGGTGGCCCTGGTGGCTTCTGTGCTGCTGGTCCTTTGTGGTGGCAGTGGCAGGAGCTGAGATCCTGAGCAGGGACCGTGTGGTGTCAGTCAGGCTGAGGAGTTACCAGGCATGAATCCATTTAGTTACATGCATGGACATGAAATGGGTTCTATCTGTCAGGAAAAACACCCTGAGTACTGGAAAACAACATGCTGGAAGCCCTGTTTAAAATTAATCCATAAGAAAATACAAATCTTTATTAAACTAGAAGTTTTCAAAGAAAAGTTACCTATTTTTTTTTGCAAGGCTCTGGGGTTTTTTTTCAGATCTACCAAGTAGGTGTAGCTTTCCTTTAAACATTCAACTTCAGTGCCCCAAATTCCAACCTTGGGCCATAGATTGGAACTAAATGATCTTTAAGGTCTCTTCCAACCCAAACCATTCTTTGATTTTATCTTAATTACATTTAAAATTGGAGTAAATAACCTTCTAAGGTTACAGATAAATCTGTTGTGTTAAGGAGGGACAATACAAGAAAACTGATGGCGAACACAGTCGTTTTATTAATCTTAAAAAAAGACACTGAAAGGATTTCCTGTCCCTGGTTTAAATAACCCACTTTCCATTCCCATTTGGTAATTAAAGTTATGTATTTCAAGCCATGTTAGCAACAGAAGTTTTTGGGTTGGTCTGGATGGGAGATGGCTGCACTATAGCCCGAGGTAACAACTTAAGCTGTCATACTTTCAAATTCTGATTGGCAAGTCCGTGTGGGTATTCGTGTCAAACATAATGGCATTTTGTGCTTACACAGGATTACTGAACTTGACTAAAATTGCCATTTGGGCTCCAGGAATAGGATAATATTGGAGTCTGCTAATAGTGCATAATCACCACATTCCTACTTGTAAATGTTCTGTGCCTGAAAGATTTTTCTAACATTTGTTTAAAATTATTTTGCATCAATGTGACATTGTTTAAGTACAGTTTATTTTGCTCGTGAGGTTTTTTTTTGCCAGAATTTCATCGTTCTGGTAAAGTCTTTATTGTCTTGCTGTTGAAAAATGTTCTGATGTCCAATTTTTAGGTTGTGCATGTGGATATGCCCTTTAAAGATGATTCAGAGCTCCAGAAGTACTCAAAGGTAAGGCTTACATGGTGGTTTCCTTCGTGGTATATGTTGGCAGAGTAACCCTGTGAGGGCGTGACACAATTCCAGATGTGCTTCAGGAATTTAGTGGTTTTGTGGCTCTGTATTTTCCAAAAAAAGGCTGCCAATATTCTGCTTATCTCCTGGACTGATCCAATACTTTTTCATAGCAGAGGCAAATGAACCTTTTAACAGTTTGTTACCAAATCTCCAAACAACAAAAAGCCACCCTCAAACCATGCACATAAAACTTGAATTTTGGGGTACTTAATTGCCCAGAATGGAGCAGAGGTTGCAACTCTGCTGAACAACCATTTTGTCCCACAGATGATTTTGCTGTAGTGATCCTGGCACAGGGAAAGGAATGTGTAATTCATGCAAATTGACAGATCTTAAATTAATTTCACTTCCAAAAAGTTTTCAAGATACCTATGTTAATACTGTGGAAAAGAGATTTTTAGAGGTGATACATTTATATATTTGTGGGGACACCTCAGTGGGGAAGGGCTATAAAGTCATGATGAGACATGGCTATGAAGGAATGCTGTGGATCAGTGGATTGCTCCTTTTATTTGAATATCCAGACTGGTTTGGGAAGCAGGACAGTTAGTTTGAACTCCAGTAATAAAAAGCCAGAAAATGTCCAAACTGAAGGAGCAGCTCCTGCTGATCATCTCTTCTCCCCAGGTTGCCATGATTTCTTCTGCCTTGTCTGGATTGTGCATCACTTTTATTCTATTTTTCCTAATATTAGCAGACTTAAGGCACTGAGGGTTGGAGTTGCCCTAGAGAAAAATTCCAAATTAGGGAGTTCCAGTGGGAAAAGGCTGACACAACATCAGTGATTTCCCCTTGCAGAAAAAAGCATGTCAGTTTTAGTAACTATGTACAGAGGACACTTCATGGATATTTTTCCTACCTGGAAGTAGTGTAGCTCCCAAAGGAGTGAGACAGCTGATCTTGTGGTGAGATTTTAGGGCAATTATGGAATTTATTTTATTCCTTTATTTATTTCTATTTATTTGGTTTTTGTTTTGCTCCAACCCCAGGGGTTGGAACTGGATGATGCTGAAGGTCCCTTCCAACCCAAACCATTCTGTGATTTGTTGACAGCTCACCTTTTGGGTGGTACTTCTCTCTGTATTTTTCCCATTAATTTTAGTTATTTGAGAACACAGTTCAAATTGCCTTTTTCCCAAAAAAGCAAACTGGTTGTTTTTATTTGTGCAAACAGTTTGTGAAAAGAAGTTACAGACAGTTTTGCTGTAAACATTTGATCATCTTACTGTGGGTTTGGTTCCATTTGGTGAGCTACTGAATCCTAAATCTGTTTTTATCGTGGTAGATCAAGATTTATACTTAAATAGTTCCTTATATTTATCCTTTGGCAGCTGTTACCCATCCACACTCTGAGATTAGGACTTGAGCTGGACACTTTTGATGGACATCATTATATATCATCCATTGCTTCAGATGGCCCCCCTGCAATCCTTGGTATTCTGCAACTGGAGGATGAACTGCTGGAGGTAAAAAAATAAACCAGAACCCCCACAAAAATAAAAATTATATATTTACTGTTTGTTTGGCCTTCTTAAAATGTTTCTCCTAGCTTGGCTGCTGTGTGTGCAATAGAGTTATTCCAGAGTTAGTTAAAGTAAAAGCAGAGTTGGAATTCACATTCATTTTCTTCACTGTTCCCTTCCACATTTATGGACAAAAAGTCAATTTCTTGTGACCTCTCAGTGACTTCATGGGCATTTTTTCTGAAATGTTTTAACATGAGTATCAGGAGTTACAAGGGCAGAGATAATATTTGTGTTGAATTATTTGTAGTCCTGTGGCTCAGTCTTCTGCACAATTTGGCTTTAGTTTTTGCAGTGGATAATCTTTCTGAATATTTGTCACCCCTAAAAAATTTACAACAGTCTTAGGAACAGTGGTTTCAGTTACACAATAAAACTTTTTTGTTGAGTGTTGAAAGATATTTGTGTGTATGAGCAAATACATCAGTTTGTTTAAATGTGTATAAAGAGGTATTGGGGCAACTTTGGAGTTATCAGAGTCACACCAGACCTATTTTCTCAAGAAAAATATTTATTTGATAAAATTAAAATAGTTCCTATTTTGTGTGTGTTGGTGCATGTTGGTATCTCAGCCTGCAAGTGAAAAGACATTAATTTCTTATTGCATGCTTACTCCTCGTGGAATATTTTGATATTTGAACCTCTTTTTAGTGGATGCAAAGAACATTTAATGGGAACAGAATTAGGTCTTCTGAAAGATTGATTTGTTAGGTGCACAGCTATTTTGCTTTTACTTCTTCACCCTCTAACATCAAAAATTCATATTGATATCACTAAGACCTAGAACATGTTCTTATTGCTTAATGGAGGAAATCTTGATTCCTGAAGGAAGGGATTAATGGAATGCTGGAAGTGTCGTTTTAATTGCTTGGCCACTAAACAAAAAAGAAATTTATACAAAAAGCAATAATGCAGTGCTGTAGAGTAACTTAGGAAACTTTAATTATGTATATTTAACAGTTCATATTACTCTCTACTCAGAATTAAGTTCACAGATATGTCCAGACCTAGTGAGTGTAAATTTTTTTGTACTCTATAGTTGGGGAAAAAAACCCCAACAAAATAAAAATGTGCTCTGGGGCTAAAGCTGTAAGTGCCAGGTTTAGCCCAGACTATATTTTTGCAGCCAAGTTATAAATCCCCTTAAATAGGGGTTTGCAGTGGAAAAAGTGACAGCCCCATTCTCCAAACAAGGAGCCTTACCTGGGCTGATACCTTTGGGATTGAAATATGATCAGCAAGGATTTTTTTTTCTTTTTTTACATACAGTGAGGCTGAATGTTGATTATTTTTAATGATGTGTTTGAATTATGACAGACAGCACGATACCCCTCCCCTGCCCTTCATTTCAGCTAATTCCATTGTGTGCATTTTTAGGAGTAAATTGCTTTTTTGAGCCCTTTTGTTGTACAATTTCCCTGCTGTTCGAGGGCTGGCTGGCTGATGTGTGAATGAGTGGGTGTAGGGCACCTTGCCTGCTCAGAGGGAGATTTCTGGCAGCTGCAGGAGGAGAAATGGGAGTCCCCAGGTCTGCTGGGGGGTGCACAGTAGCTCTTCCCCATCCATCACGGGATGCTGAGAAGTGCTGGGAGCTTTCCACCACGCTGCCACTCTCCAAGCATTAAAAAATCCTTACACATAGATCCTTCTGCTTAAATAATTAACTAATGGATGAGGCTGATAGCTCAGCACTTGCTGTAATTCTTGCAGAAAAAAAGCCCAGAGCAGTTTGTCTTACCTTGGTGGAAGCCAATTCCACCCCTCTCAATTTTTCTGCTTGGCTGGGATGTAGAGTGTGAGAGGAACTCTGTATTTCCCAGCAGCACAAACTGTATTTACACTGCAAAAAGCACGAAGTGGGGGGAAAAAAATAGAAGTGATCAGGAAGCAAATGTTGGCTAAAGTGGGATTGCTGTGGAGTTTTGCATGAGACTGAATCCCTCTGATCAGCAAGATCTGGGAGGTTTATGGAGAGGCTCTGCCTCAAGTGCACACAGGTAAAGGTGTGTCCATGGCTGGTGAACGTTTCCATGCTCTGTTTTCTTGGATCAGGTGTGGGTATGGAGGGCAGTACTGAGGGTAATCCTCAGTTATCCCCACTTGCTGTGCCTTGGTTCCTGCTGTGGAGTGACTTGGATGAGGTGCTGGATTCCCAAACCAGTGGCAGTGTGGACATTCAGTTGTGAGAGAGGCTTGAGGCAGCCTAAAAGAAATCCCAGGGACACACGAGGTGTTGGGATTGAGTCCACAGCACTTACTGGGTTAAACCCCTGCTCTTTTGGGGCTGCAGTGCTGATTTATGGTGATTTATGGCACCTGCTGACATCCTGCTGTCATCCTATTTAGGGACACCCCTGTGGTGCAAAGAGAGGAACCCTCAGGATATAAAGGTTTTAAAATAGGTAAAAGAGGATGAGTCACTCTTTTTTTTTTTTTTTTTTTTTTCCCAGCAGAAGTAGAATCACAGAGTGGCAGAATAGTTTGAATTTGAAGGGACATTGAAGCCCATCCACTCCCACCCCTGCCAAGGGCAGGGACACCTTCCAGTATTCCAGGTTGCTCCAAGCCCTATCCACCCTGACTTTGGGCATTTCCAGGGATGAAAGTTAGAATGACAGAATCATTAAGGTTAGAAAACACCTCTCAGGTCATTGAGCCAGACTTCTAAACTAGTTGTGGTAGTTCTGACTTCAGTTTTTTGATTGGAGCTCAGAAGCTGTGTTTGCTTAAAGTATTGTGAGAAAATTAAAATTTTTATCTTTTAAATTTAAACACATAAGCCTAACACTGAAAAAAGATCCCCAACAAAGAAACAGCTGAGAAAGAAATAAGAATTCTAGGAAAGATTTAGGCTTGGAGAAGTGGTGAGCAGAAAAGAAGTTAGAGGAAGCTAAAGAGACATGATGCAGCAATCAGTAGTCACAAGATCTTGGAGATGAAATTTTACAATAATGTATACATTCTTCAGAAGCATGTTAATAAATAAGTAAAAGAGGATGAATCACTCTTTTTTTTTCCAGCAGTAGTTGAATTACAGCGTGGCAGAATGGGATGGAGGGGACATTGAAGCCCATCCAGTCCCACCCCTTTTTTTACCAAAAAAAAAAAAAAAAAAAAAAAGTTAATAAAACCGTGCAAGTTGTGCCAGCATCCCCAGGTAAAATCAGACTTCCACGCTCAGGTGGGGAAAAATACACTCCAAAACAAAACAAAACCAAACAAAATTTAAACAAAACAACCTGTCAGATATCCTTTAGTTCTCTTTGTGTTGCCGTTGTGCAGGTGAATGGGGTGCAGCTGTACGGGAAGTCCCGACGGGAGGCTGTCACCTTCCTGAAGGAGGTGCCACCCCCGTTCACCCTGGTGTGCTGCCGGCGCCTCTTCGGGGACGGCACCGAGTCTCTGGTGGACGAGCCCCCCGTGGCAGCTGCCCCTCCAGAGCAGAAGGTAACGCTTCCCCTGTCACCCACTTGTGCAAAACGACAGGAAAGCTATTTGGGAAAGTCTGGATTTTCACGGGTTGGTCTTGAGAAGCTTCATTGTCCTGGGAAGATGTTGAAATGTAACATTCCTTTTTGCTTTTGCTCGCTCTTGCTCTCTCTTTTTTCTCTCCTCTCACCACTATCATCAACACCCAAAAATAAATGAGAACTGCAGCAGCAACATCACCTTCCCAAAACTTTAACGGGAGCAGCTTCTACTTCTAATTAAGACTTTACTTCTATTTAAAACTCTATACCAAAAACCTTTAATGCTTGTAACTCTTTGCCTCTCAATACTGATGTACCTTTACAATAAACAGCTTTATAGCAACTTTTAACTGCTCAACTCTTTAAAGAAAATAGCCACAATCCAACCTACAGGAAGACAAGGTAGGTAAATCACCGAGCTGCTTTGCTGACTGTACATCCCATTCATCATCCCTACCCTTAATAGGTGAGTGAGAACTCTGAATTACACTAAATCACATCCTTGCCACCATTAGCTGATTGCTTCCTTGTTCTGAGTAGGATTTTATAGAACTGGGGGGGGAAAAAAAAAATAATTGAAACTTAAAAGTTTCTTTCCGTCGCGGGAGCTTTAAAGTCTCAAACTAAAGCTTGACACTTGTGGTTGCTCCTGTTTGTAAAAGTATTTACAGCTTGGCTTCTCATCTTTTCTCATTGTCTGGCTTTTCTATTAGCTGTCTGTGGTTAAATCTTTTATGCTATTTATTTTTCCTTTATGCATCTAATGGGACAGCTGAAGTTCATCAACGTGTAACAGGTTAGTAATATTCTAACAATTAATTAGACTAATACATGGGTATTTGTGTGCCAGGTTGGGCTCTGATGCTCAAAACATGTAGCCCCGTGCCCAGGGGAATACTCAAGGCAGCAAGCTGGAGAAAACTCTATTCATAATGCTCAGTGAAGTTTTAATTCCATAAAAGGTCACATTTTAGGGCATATATGCACCATTAATAATCAAAATATTGAAGGAATAGTGTTTGTAAAGAACTGAGAGAATGATATTTGAACCAGAGCTTTTATTTTCCAGGTGAAACCCGAGGAAGACTTTAATCCTGAGGAGGAAGAAGGGGAATTGGCATTATGGTCTCCTGATGTGAAGGTTATTGAGCTGGAGAAAGACAAAAATGGTTTAGGATTCAGCATTTTAGACTATCAGGTATACTTTTCTGTAGAACTAAATCCTAGAAATCCCTGTGATCCTTTGTCTTAAAATGATCCTTGTGCCTTAAAATGTTTTGTGATGTTAATTACTGAATAATGAATTTGACATTTGGGCCTAGAAACTTTAGGGAAAAGGAATGTATTTTGAGGCCAACTCTATAAAGTATGGAGTGTTCCAAACCTCTGATTATTGGACATGATAAAGTGCAAAATCTTTTATCAACCTTTACCCCATCACTCTTGAGTTTAATGATTGGGCAAGGTTGGTTTTTTGTTGTATTTTGTTCTAACTTAGAATGACTTTTCAGCTGTGAGAATGGCAAGTTCTTGAGTATTAGTTGGAGGTTATTATATTCTTAATTGTTGAACTCCTAAGAAATTAACCGACAGGTCTTTAATTGGAGGGAAATGCTACTAAAATTAATGAATCCTTCTTTCAAAAACACTAGCTTCAATTGAATATGTAGAAACTCAAAATCTGTAGTCAGAATGAAATGTTCTTCATGTTTCTAGTCAACATGATATATTTTTTTAAACCTCCAGTCATCATATTTATAAGGAAATAAAATAGCTGGATCACTCTTTATAATAATATACACATCACATCTGAGTGCTGCCTAAACATTGTAGTTTAATGAAATGTGTTCAACTGTTGTACATAAATGTCAAGTGATATAAAATTCACTTTTTGATACAATAAGGCAGGAATTGGGAATGAATTAGAAGGAAAAAAAATACTTGAAGTATTATGCAAACCCATTAATTCTATATTTTACCAGTGCGATTTAAGATTACTGAAAATAGATCCTGTTAGTCATTTTAGCTGACACATGTTGTGTTGCAGTGCCAGCTCTACTCTAGAGTTGCTGGGAGTCTTTACAGAGCAGTAATACACAGATTTGCTTTTAAGTTCTCATATAATCAGAATTAATGAAGGCTTTAATAGCAGGCTTTTTATTTACTTATTCGCAGATGCAAATACACGAGCAATGTTGTGGTACTTTCAGCTAAATTTAAATACATTCTAATCAATTCTAAATGAGTGGTAAACCACTTAATCTCAGATCTTTATAATTTCAAGATATTTATGTATAAAGTGTATAAAGTGTGTTCTTTTGTTTGGGATTCGTCTCTTAGATCTTTTACACTTTTCATCATCTGCAGATTAATTTTTATAGAGAGATATCTGTGGCTGTGTGTGTGTTTATGTAAATACATCCATCACATCCTTGAGTGCAAGGCAAAGAAAATAAATAATTGTCCATGCTACAGTGGAGGCAAGGGGGGAAAAAAAAAAAACTGTGTGTGGTTCCTGGGAGAGTGTTTGGAATTCTTAACACAGATCTGCTGGGAAACACTGAATTACAGCAGTGTTTAATTGTGCCTTAGAGGACCTGGAGACCCTTCTTTAAAACATGAAAGGTGTTTTTTTAGGCACACACTCTTTGTTTTACAAGAGAAAATTCAAGCCTTGTAATGGCAAATGATACTGCTTGTGCTCTGTATCCACTGCTGATTTTGCTCCTTTTGAGGAATACAATTTTTAAATCTTTTTTTAGATATTTTTCAATGAAAATGGGTCTCCCATGGCCCATCATCAGTGAGTGACCAGCCTTTCTGGGCTGCCAGTGCTGATGGAGGTGGGGGGGGAGGAAAATGCTTTTGAAGGGGAGATTCTGAGCAGGAATCCTGTTGGTAATTAACACACAAGGACTGGCTCTGTCCTGTACAGAAATTACAGGAAAGTTTGGTGTTGCATACCCAGCTTGGAGGAGGTGATGTGACTATCCCGGGTTTTTAAGATCCAATTATTTCTGCAGCTCTTGGTTGAAATGACACTTCAGAAACACTGGAAAAACTTCAGGAAGCTCAGTGGGAACAGGGAAGTGATGTCAGGGTTAAAAAGCGATGATGCTCTAATGTCCCACCCGACTTTCCCCCACACAAAGGTGGAGCAACACCTTGGAAATGGTGGATCCCTGTGGATCCCAGCCCTAGGATGGGACTGGGGTTGTTCCCTGCAGTGTTTAAGGAGCTCTGGAGTCTTGCTCATACATTTCTGACAGTGAGAGATGCCAGATGTGCTGCAGAAGCACAAGAATGCTCAGCAAGTACAGACCAGGCTGCTCACAGTGCTCTGGAAGTTTCTTCCTACTTGTTTTCAAGCACAGAGCTTTTTACCTTTCCATCTTAATTTTGATTGTTGAATTAGAAGTTGTGCTGAGTACTCCTACGGTGTATAATTTATAATATTTGCCATTTTGTTTCTCAAAAGTGGCTGCAAGCTCAGCATAAAGGATGCTGTGCCTCAGTTGTCCTACATGCTGCACTTCCCAAGTCATGCTCTGGAAAACAGAATTAATAAAAATTCTTTGTGAGGCAGAATAAGAGTCTGAGTACGTGGAAAACTGAATGCTGAGATCGAGAAAATTATTACTCTGGCATATTAATTTTTAATGGGCTGTCTTTCTAATAATGTTTCATCTATCAAATAAATGATAAGCACATCCCAAGTGACTTGCAGGATATTCCCAGAAATGTACAAGCATAATTCCAATGCCTATATATTTTAATGAACTAATTACAAATTAATTATACCAATTATGCATAATCAATAGTATTTCTACTTTGTCCTGTGTTTTCTTTTGATTGTCTTTAGGGATTTAAAAGCTTTAAAAAAAGCCGTCTTCCTTTTTTTTATTAAGGCTCTTAAAACTTTGGGGTAGAGTTATCCCTTTTGCTATGACAGGATAGTATTTATGTAGGATACTCTTCGTCTTCCTGTGGTTTCTATGTGTGTTTAAAAAAAAAAACCTTTTTTTCCCCTTTGAATGTTGTAATTTGTAATTATGTTGTAGGAAATCTAAAATTTCTGAGACTCTGCTCTGCTGGCACCGAGGTCAGTACTTGGTGAGAGGGGAGGTGGATGGCAAAAGGATCCTGTGGATTCTTTAAATGATGGATTTCATTGGATTTCTTTTATTTAAATAAGAAACACTGAAGACGTCTTAAAATGCAATCTTCTGTGTTTTTTTTCTGTTGCCACCACTGTGTTGGTCAAGGCTCCTAGGCCAGGCACTGCTTTTTCTGGATGGTGCTCTGATGGGAAGGCTGCAGAGGTCTCCTGGCCATTAAAAAGCTGTGCTGCTCAGCCCTGTGGCCAGCTCCTCTGTGAAGTAACACACTCAGCCTCCCTTCATTTCCTTCTCATTTCACTTGGAGAGGTTGCTCTCCCTTTCACCTCTTCACTAACCTTTATGTGGTGCTGCTGGCACAGGTAGTGCCAAGTGGGCTCTGATGGGGAGGCAGGGACCTGGGGTGCTGCTGCTGGAGGGATTTGGGATCACCTGGGATGCAAGGCAGTGTATTTCGTGTTCTTTGTCAGCAGACCTGAAAGTATCCAGCTTAGCAGTGAATTTATCCAGCCTGGAACTAATCACAGAATCCCAGAATGGTTTGGGTTGGAAGGGATCTTAACTCTCTCATCCTGTTCCAAACCCTGCACCTTCCACTAGACCTGGTTGCTCCAAGCCCGATCCAGCCTCCTGGCCAGCAAGTCAAGAGCTAAGCCATTGTTTTAGAGACCAACCCCTTTTTCTTAGAAAGAATTGGAAGATATATTATCAGGTTAAAATAGAGAAGTAATGCTGTCTAAAAACGACTGTGATACCATGTGTATTAAAACAAGAGGAAAGAAAAACCCCATAAGACTTAAGAGAGAAAAAGGAGAGATCCCAGCAGGATAGAAGGTTCCTTGAGCCCTGAAACTGTGTTTTCCAAAGACCTGATGCATTGCAGGCCAACAGATTCTGTCAGTAATGTTTTACAGAAATATTGGAAAAACCACAGGTAGCTGAATTGCAGATTTCTTGAGGCAGTATTGACCAGAAGGTAACTTGAATGGTCTGATGAGCTTTTATCAAATTAAACAAAAAGCTGAATGGACTTTACGTGGAGCTTAATTTACTGTGCTTTGAAGTCGGAGTCTTTTTAAAGCAGCTGTTTCAGAGTGCATGAAACTGGAGAGGGTGAGGGGTGGGATGGGGAGGTTTGACATTTTACATAACTCTTGGGAAGGACTGTGAGATGCTGTTGCTCCCTGTATGTGCTGAGAGATAAGTCCCCAGTGCCTGCTTGCTTTGGCACAGCCCAGCTGCCCTGGAGAGCTGGCTGGCTGGAGGAACCCGTGGACTCACCTGCTCCAAGTGATCCATGGAAGCAGAAAGAGACATTTCAGCACTCGGGAGCTTCAGGTTACCCTGAGCTGGAGGAGCAGCGTGAATTGTGCCTGCCTTGGGCTGCCTGGGTCAGTGCCCCAGGGATTTTCCTGTGGTCTAGCAACAGGGACCCCACAGCTGCCTTATTCCTGGCTTCCCTTTATTATTAGTAGCAGTTTTTCGTGCTGTTGAACTGAAGTCTCTTTTGCTGCACATTCAGCAGGTTATGTTTTGTCCTTCTCCCAGGGAGCATGGGAAACAATTGTTTTCTCTTTTCTAACAAAATCACTGCATAGTCATTCACGGCAGGAAGTGAAGCAATTTAAGTGTCTCCAAACATCTTTCCTCTTTTCTTTATGCCCCAAACAGGCTCCAGATGTAGAGTTTAAAAAAAAAAAAAAAAAAAGCAAAGTGACTTCTTATTTGTAGAAGGTGGTATTCAAGTACATTTTTTTAAATTTTTTTAAAACTTTCTTGGTCTGTTCAGCAGTGAGATGCAGGCTGGAATGCTTTGACAAGTTGCTGGCTAAACGTTTGCCCTCTTGTGATAATTTGAGCTTTGTCTGTTCTTGTGATAAGTTTGTTATGAACAAAGAAGCATATTCACGTCTTTGTTAAGCACATTTTCACCTGATCATGTGATGGAAACCTGTGGCTTACTGGCAAAAGCTGCACAGCTGTATTAAAAAGCAGTTTTACAATGGCTATCAGCTTGGTACTGGGAAAACTGATAAAGGCAGCTTTTCTCCCATCTCTACAACCCATCCACATTCATTAA